GCTTCGTATGCTTTGTTTATGTTAAGAGACAGAAAATAAGATTTCGCATTGTCATGCTCCCTGACCTTGATCTGGATTCGCATCTGATGCGATGCTTTTTAACGTCAAAAGGTGCTTGCTAATAGCGAAATAGGTTTGCATAGGACAAGTTCAAGATAGTATCATAATGACAATCGATATTCTTGCCACTGATCAGCTAACAAACATTTAATTGATAACAGGAAGCCTTGCCACCAAGCCAATGACAGTTTTTCAGCATTAATCTAAAATTATAACTTTTATTTGTTGCGAGGGGCCAAAACTATAAAAATTTAAATTTTTCCAAGAACTAAACTAAAATTTCAAAATCAGCACGAGGATACTCGACCCCAAAGCCCCCAACGTTAAATCCACCCATGCATGTTGTGCTTCCGAAGTCCATGTTGTCGACACCTAGGATCCATATCCAGCATCCATCTTATCAAATTGATTTTTGTAGGCAACTCATCGTAAAACATTCACCATATGAAAATTTTACACACCCCTCACATGGGGGGAAAGGTCCACGTATTTATTGTGCAAGGGCCCCGTCCCCCTTGTGGGGGGTTTGTAAATGCCCTGATACAAGTAGCTCGGCCCTATCCATTTTGAATGTGAATTAGAAATAATTATTTATAATGAAATCGCATTTTTCTTTTCCGAGAATCTTATTAATCCCTATTTCGTGTTATAAATAATCTTTTATTTGATTTAGTGACTTTTAAAGTTCTTGGTTTTAGACTTTTAGCCATGATGACTAGGTATTGAAATTTTCTTGAACTTCGAAGTTGATATTGAGACCTTTTTCTTACATTGTTGGGTGATCGAGTTGAGACCAAAATTAAGGTACCAATTTATTCTAACAACTTCTAAGTTGCATAAAACCAAAGATTTTTCAAAGATGAAAAGAGAAATAACAAATTGAAAAACACACAACAAAGGTACAAATTAACATTCTACACAATTGGGAACATCAAGATGGTCTCTTTCAAGTCTCATCATTTTCCTTATCATCTCTTTTGTTGTTCACTTGTGGGACCACCTGAATTATACACATTATAATAATCAATATTATTGGTTATATAAAGATAAATAGAATAATACAATGATATTTTTGGGCTTGATTTGTTAGAGCATGTTTGGCTAAGTTTAGCCCCAGTTCGTCTACTATTAAAGCAAGAAAATGAATTTGAAATAACAATTTTTGAAAAATGTGTAATTTTTAAGTTCTGCTTTGCCGAAAGAAGGAATTATTTATTTTTAAGTTTAGCCAAACACTCCAAAAATATCTACTAACCTGATCTTGTGAAGAAATATCCGATTGAGATGACAATAATCTGGTTCTCTTATCCTTCTTTCGCCTGTTCAACTCTACAATATTTTAACAAAAACATCGAATCAAAATTCTAGAACAATAAAAATATCATCATTCATAAAGATGGTATCAATTTAAAAGCATATATTCGAGGGTTTCATTTCTTCATGATATTTCTATGCCATTATTATCTTAGATTGTTATAAATATCATAGTGCAAAAGAAAAAAGAAAGAAAATAAATTATATAATATATATAATGAAGAACTAATGCACACATTTCCTTGATCGTAAACATATTTAGATCCTGTTTGATTTTTATTTTTATCGAAATTCATTTTTCTCTCTTCTTTTTAACTACAATTCTTCACTAAAATAATATTACACGTAAATCAAAAAATTTTCTTTATTTTTTATCCAAACATTCTCCATTAATCTATTATTCTAAAATTCATATTTCCAACAAAATGGATGTCAAAACCCTCTCAGTGTATTTTTGGTAGGGATCAAAATTAAATTTTTTAGTAAATTGTATGGTTGAAAAGTTGCGAAACCTATGAAAAATGTGGTTAATATTGATTGTTTGATTTAGATTTAGATTAAAATCAAATTTTAATCTTTCCCAAACAAGCTCTTAATACTTCAAAACGTCATTTTCTAAATTTTTTTAATCAAGTATATTTATTGTATACTCCAATTAAGAATGAACTATTTAAATTCTTAAACTATGCAAGAAACAATATTTTAGATTCTTTTGAATCCAATGGTTTACACCATATTTGGTGTAATGGAACCTTTCCAATGGTTACATAGTGTAAGAATTTAAATAGTTCATTCTTAATTCAAAATTTTCACATGTACAAGAAATACATTAAACATTAAATAAGTTCATAATTAAAGGAAATATGTGCATTATGTTCTTCATTGTATATATTATATATTTGATTTTCTATTCTTTTTTGCACTATGATATTTCTAAAATTGTTAAATTAAAAATTATATTTAATTAACTAAAATATTGCATTTATGAATAAATTAAACAAATATTAAACAGAATATCGCAATTAAAAAAATACATTAAACATACAAAAAAAAAGTTACTGATAATGACAATAACAAAGGAATTCCTATATTTATCTTATACATGATCAATTAATGCATTTCGAACTACAAATTGCATATATATATATTTGTCTATGCAAAGCAAGAAATTCTTGAAATAGGGTATTTTCATTTACAAGCATCTCAACTTTCATAGGCGACGCTTCAATTAAATGTTAAATAAAAATAATTATCACATTAAAATAATTATAAATAAATTCAAATCTATTAATCTAAAAAATTTATTGTAAAAGGAAGGAGAAGGCCAAATAGGGAATATAGAATTATCCAAATTTGGTTTTACCATTGAAGTGATTTTTACACCAAATTTGCCTAACCATGGGAGTTGGGTAGTAAAAGAGAGAAGGTTCTGAAGCAAAACTAAACATAGCTTTGATGTAATTTGTGTAGATATGGTTGTTATTGTTACCTGAGGTAGAATATCTTCTTCGTCTTTCCTTCCCCAAATCCTGCGTAGATTCCGTCGTGTCCGGTATATAGCGATCAAGACGAGAAATTTGACCTTCGAACATTGTTCGAACAAATGAAGCCTCCATGGAGTTCAAGAAATCAGTGTGTCTCTCATTTGTCCAATGCCAATTTGAATCAAAACTCATTTTCTTCATGCTATCCATAATCTCACTTTTGGGTCGCCGGAGAAGCCTCCGCTGCCGCCGATGTTGTTTCCGGTGAACCAGATGGGTGAATGGGTAGGGTTTGTATTTTTGCTAACTTTGGAAACGAAGGAGTATTCTTAGGTTTTTATAGTACCTGACTTGTATTTCTCAACGTTCGCAGCCTCTGGTAACTGCTGGTCTTGGATGAGAGTATTGAATGGTTCACGTACTCGCTCTACGTGATCGACACGCGGTGTATTCTTTTTGATATTATTTTGTGCTTAAATTAAAAAATTCTTAAAAATATCAAATTAATTAATGTATTTAATAGCTACTCTTAGGTCCTGTTTGAGTTCCATTATTTTCTCATTAAAATAAAAATTTGACCGTTATTCATCACATCAAGTTATTATATTTGATTTTTTATCTTTTGCGTGAAGTTTCATAACGACTATCTTTTTTATTCTCATTTTTACAATAATGTGGCTCAAACGGGGCTTAAAAAAAGTAATAAATTCATATTTTCGGAATGCCTAAATTCAAGACTAATTTTGAGAAATTCAAAAGAAGTTGATTGATATCGAGAATTTCAAAAGGAATGGAACGTATTTTACTGCTTATATTTTTCATAAATATGTCAGGACATTACGATAGTACTTTTTTTCGTTTTTGATGCCTAACTTTTATATTAACAGCTTGTTTAGTAGAGTTTAAAAGTTAATTAAAATCAATTTTTTTACTGTTATTTTACTATTTCAGCCGTTATTTTTGAATTTTTCTCTCACATGTAGGACTCACTTTATCTCTAACGATCAAAAAATCAATTATCAAAATCCTTACAAAAAAACCCTAAACAAATGTAAGAATTAAATATTTTTAAAAATATCACAAATATAATTTGAATAGTTTTATCTTTTTCTTTTAGAAAATAATATTTACTTAATCCCTATTTGATGAATATTAAAATTAGATTTTTAGTAGATTTTAATAAAAATTAATGCAATGTGCTATTGAAAAGTTATGAATTTAATGAAACATATGATTAAATTTAATTGTAATTTTTAATTTAAATTAAAATCTAAATGTTATTGTCAATGTTTATTAGATATTTATTCACTACGGCAAATCAATTTCAGAAAATTTAACGGTATTGTAAAATATCTCCGAGAAATTATGAAATAATAATGGAATTGCAATTATTTTTGTAAAGAAAAGTATTGTTCTTACTTTTATTGCACAGAGAGCGCGCGTAGGAATATTGTATACTGGCGCGAGTATAAGAAAGAAGGGCAAAAGGTAAAAATATCTGAGGTTGGGAAAAAGATCAAATTCTGAGAGATTTTCAAAGATATTTTGTTGATGGATAGAGAAAGATGAAGGATGACGTGTTTTTTGATATTTTTATTTTGATTTAATCACTTGACCTCATTCCTCAGAATATTTACCAAATTAACACAGACAAAGTCTACATTGATGAAGTGAATAGCATATCATACCATGTGTGTGGCCACCACATTTCAACTGCTCTTCCACCACAATATTTTAGAAAACAAAAAATAAAATTGTTTTTGACTCCAATTTTTTCATTTTATTTTTTTATGAAAGATGTCAAAATTTTAATACTTTCTAATAAAGAGATATGAAATTAGAATCTCCACTTTACTTTTCATACAAAAATGGTAAGTTTCATTTTAGTCCATGTTCGAGCCACATTCTAAAAAAAAATTCATTATTTATGTCAAATTAATGAGAACTGTGTGGTTAAAAAATAAGCAATTTTTTTAAATTTACGTTTAATATTATTTTATTGAAAAATGTCTGATTGAAATGATATCAAATTACTGTTGAAAAATATATTTTTTTTAAAAATAATGTTGCTCAAACAAGCCCTTATAATGAAAATGGCCATTCAAAACCCATAAATGATTATTTGGCACCTATGTCAATGGCCTGAACGTCGGATGGATCGGTCCAAATATTTTAATACTCGAAATCATCCATCATACTTTGGTCATTAAATAAATGAAATCATTCATGTCCTTGTAATTATCGAAACCAAAACCAAACTCGACCTATAGAATTCAATTCTCGTTCGATTCTGCCCATAACATTTCTTTATATACATTTACTGAACATTTTCATATAGGTTAATTCAATATATATACTTAATATGCTACTATTTGAAAATATGTGTGCAATGAAAAATTCTAGTTAAGAAATCTTCAAGGAGCAAAATAGTGAACACAAAAAGAGGAGAAAATTAAAACATAAAAAAAAATTACAGTTTTAGAAGAAGTTATTTTTCTTAATAAATCTTATTTGATGCATACGTGTGACATGTCAGAGTATATAATTTAATTATGGACAATGGTTAAATTCTTCTAGTTTTAATAGATATATTACTATATAGTATTAAGAAATTGTAGTCTACATATTGAACTCCATTTGGTTGAATAAAAAATAAAAATTTGTAAAGAAAATCACAAACTCAAGATAATAAAAAATGTACATGACAGCCCAAGCTATGAATATCAATTGCCACATATTATAAAATGAAATTAAAATATCACTTAGGTTCGTGAACAATGCAAGAATGTAAAAGGATGAAATTGCAAAGAATGAACTTTTTGATTCATCAACTTACACAACCTGGCTTGAACTTTTTGAGTCATGAGAAACTCAAATTGCAAAGATTAACATGTAGTAACCTCTTCAATATAACAATCTGATGTGAGGTGCAAGGCGAAAAAGTAGGAGCCATCTCGCTTTCTTAGAGTTAAGAGTGTAGATTTTAGACAAATTACTATCCAAATTATGATTTTTAAATTTTGTATATTTTTCACCCAGCTTATAAATTATATAAAAAAATCGGTTCATTCAAGTATCCACAGTTCTGGTTCAAGAATTAAGAATCGACTCGGACAAAGTCAATTCTCAATTTGATTTTCAATTTTTTTTTTTTTTTTGACCGATTGTAGTTCAATAGATTCGATTTCAGTTAAAATACCCAAGCCTATAGGCCACATTAGACGGTCAAAATATCTCTTTTCTCACATCTTGGATAGGGATGACTTTCAGAATACTGATATAATCACCCCTTACTCGAAGTAAAAATCACGTTCGTTCGTCTCTTATGGTTCTATCCGCTATTGCTTCACAAACACTTGGACAGAATCAAATCTTGCTACTTGGATACACAATAGAAGAATTGATATGCACTTGGGACTCTTCCTTTGTTGACCTTTACTAGATCGAAGTGACAATTTGAAGAAGTTAGAAGTTAGACAAAAATTTTGATGGCATTCGACACATGCAAGATTTTCTCAAAACAATAAAGGGAATGATTAAACTACTTTGCCCAAATTTTTTTGCCATAATGGTTGACATCCTCTCACATGTGGGTGGATCCCGTGTGAATAAAAAAATTCAAAAAAGAAGTGGGCCCTCTCTCATTGTGAGTGTCGATCAGCCTTTATGTCAAGAAAATTCGGTCATCGTAGCATTGTTGTAAAGGGAAATACTGTGTGAATGCTTCAAATATCAACTGTGCCTCAATTGGTTATCTTGGCACAACACTCGTCATTGTTAAGCATGTTGCCTATTCAATTCAGTTGCATGTATTTAGGATTGTGATGTAACGTTCATCTTCATCAAATGACTTCTTTCTTTGTTAAGCCACTTTGGCGACATTAGTGTAAAATATTAAATGCTTGACACGACAACAAACAAATTGTTAACCTCATTTTCTTACTTCTATCTAAACCAACCACCAAACAGGTGGATGTCCGTGTGTAAATTTAGAGTCACTCTTTGACATGAGAATTATTTGACTTAGACTCGCTACAATTGATCTACTCATTAGAGCAATCAGAAACATACTTTAATAGGAAAATGAGAATGAAAAATATAGTCGTTACGGACCCCGTATAAGAGATAGATTTTTAAATATTGTGGCTTGATGTGATGGATAACGGTCATATTTTTTATTTTAATGAATAAATAATGGGAAACAAATGGGGGCTTTAAGATTTCATAGCCATTAAATTTTCCAGATTCATCCATCTCGTTTTCCATTTTCTTTCTTCAAATCATTGGGAATTTACTTATAATGCACACAGAATTTAAATTTCAATTCCCTTCAAGAATCATCTTTGTATTCAGATAGAAATCGTGATAAGAATTTCACCTTTAACAAAATTTTCAAACTTTTTTGAGAATATTAATTACGAGGAATCATGATCTCTCCTCCTACTCGTAAATATTGTCTACAACGATCTTTCTACACCGCAACTATCCAATTGTCTAATCTCTAATGATAATCCACCAAAGAGGACAAGAGTAGGAAATTAGAGTCTCTCTTTCTTTGACTCGTAAGAATATAGATATTGTAATTGTGATGTAATGTGAGTTAATTGTGAGTTAATTCAAACCCTAGTAGTTTAATAATATATGTTTAAGCGGACTTGACCAACCCATTAAAAATAAGTCCACTCATTAGTTAATTAATTAAACTTGGCTCATAAATTAATTAATTTGTAATTAATCTAATTAATTGCTTAATTCCATTTATAAATAACCCAAATAATTAATTTTACAAATGTTCGACATTTGTCGGTTAATTAATTTTTTTAATATTATTTTTCTAAAGGTTGATCTCCAACCTTGAGGGCCCCTACAGCATCTATTATGTTTTCGGTCACAATATCAGACAATGTGAATTATTATTTCATCTAAAATCAAAATACAATAAATTAAAACTCTCATCTTAATTTATCATTAATTTTCATTTTTCGTCCTTGATTGACATTTAGCAATATATCAAGACAATAATATGACGAGAAATGTCATGTAGTGTGACTAAATCAAACTTATTCATTTAGCACGAAACTATAATCCACTGTAAGTATAATCCAATTAATTACAAGATAATGATATATGTCAATTTCGATTAATCGATCATACTTTTCATTTAGGTCTTAAATCGATAATATTTGAAACTTTTTTTAACTTATGCAGCCCGAGTCTATTTTCTTGGAATGAAATGTAGATTGCAGAATGAAGGTTTGCATTTGAGGGGATTAGTGTTAGGGGTTAGGGTTTTAGGGGGAAGGATTTACTGTTTTATATAGAAGATGTATGGGGAGGCTGGTGTAAATTATAGAAATTATAGGTGGATATTGTAATTATAAGAAGTTTTGTGGCTAGTAATGCAATTTTGAAAATTTACACACATCTCTTACAAGTTGAAAAATAGGGGAAATGTGTACAAATAAAACGTGTAACATTTTTTTTCTAATGTACACTTGTAAATCACACCATATTTTAGAATATTGTCCAATATCACACGTATCTATTCGTTCGTCTTAGGAATCTCTCTCCAAGTTTTAAAAAAATAATAATAAATAAATAAATAAATAAAAACGAAGACAATAATTGATTAAAAAATGTAAGTGCATATTTGATATATAGCCCTGTTTGAAACTCATTAAAATTACATTATAACGAGATTCTTCATTTTTCAATAATAACTTCTGTAATTTAAAAAAATAATTTATTGTTTACTTGTCAATGCATTTATGTCCAACACAACTGTTAAAAATTGGATTGACCAAAATATCCCAACTCTTCAACATTCCATTTACAAAAACACTCCTCTCCATTATTAAATGAATTTCCCTTCCAAAGGATAATTTTGAAATTACGAAATGTACTACTGCAACCACTCATTCCAAAGTGAAAAACTTGTTTTAGATGGTCATTTTGATCAACCGTCAAGGACATGGTCCCACAGTGTCAGGAACAAAAAATTGGAGATTTCTCATTATAATGGGAATCAAACAAGCTTATAATATTACATTGCACAATATATATTGTAATGTATGTATTAGGTGGGTCTAATTCACATTATCAAACATGAGATATTTTGTATAAAGGGAAAATTACATAAATCCAAGAGTTTAAACATCACAATTCAAACACCAGGGTTAGAGTTTCATTATGTAACAATCAGGTATTGATTTAATAATTTAAATATTAATTTCTTCCAATTCAATTTCCCCAACCCTAATTTTACGTTTTGTTCTCTCCACCATCTCCATACTCTGCCTTCTCTAGATCATGAAACACCATCGTCGCCACCGTCGGCGACGATTCACGATGACGACGGCGATCACGACGGAGGCGACGCTCAAAAGCATCCTCACCGGTGGCTATTCTATTGGTTTTCTCTCTCTTCTCCTCTGCTTCACGACCACGAATAGGGTTACAGTCGATCTAGGTAGGTTACAACTTACAGGCGGTAGTGGTGGATTTGATCGGTGGTAGTGTGTGCGCCTATGCAGTGGTGTTGCTGTTTGAAGTTTGGTGACGGTGATGTTGCAAAAATGGTTGTGGTGGACGACGGTCTTTAACTGTGAATTTGATTTTTGTAGTGGGTGTGGAGTAGTTTTGGGGTTTGTGTTGCTGGTGGTAAGGGTGCTGGCTGTGGGCATGAGGTTGCGGTGGCGATGTGTTTGGTTGGCGATGGATTTGGATGGTGTCTTGTGCGATGACGATGGTCTTGTATGGTGGTGGACTTTGTACAGCGTGGATGTGGGTGTGATGGTGGCGTTTGTGGTCGCCTTTCTTGGTCGGTGTTTTGTTGGAGGTTGTGGTGGTGCGGTGAAGGACACGGTGGCAGTTTTGTTGGTGATTTAGTTTAGGCGGCGATGGTGTGGTTCAGATGGCAATGGTGGTGGGTTTGGTGGTGGAGTATTTGTGGCCATGTACAGAGATGGATCGAGATTGGTGTTTGGTGTCTATGACCGACAATTAATCTGTGACCTTGAAATTCGATCATTTTATGACTAAAAAATAATTTTTGACCATCAAATTCAAAAATACGTGACCTATAATATTTTGGATTTATAACCATTTGTGACCTATAGTTGTGACTCGTGACCTATAATTTTTTAGAGTTGTGACCAAGGACATAAACTGTGACCTATAAAATTGATGGATAAATTGTGATCCGTGATCACGAAATAATTTGTAACCTATCAAAGTTTTGATTCGTGACCTCAAAATAATTTGTGACCAATTAATTTGAAGATATGTAATCAAAAAATAAATTTGTGACCTATAAATGTGTACACGTGATCATTAACTGTATAATTGTAATTTTATTATATTTGATTAATAAATATTTTTAATTAATTAGATAAAAACCTGATTTTTGTATTAGTTAAACTTTAAACATGTTTTTTGAACTGTGCATAGTTAATACATAGTTTATGAATTTTTCCCTTGTATAAATTTCCCATTATTTGCACATCCTACACACTCTTTTGGCCCAAGTGTAGCACTTTAATTATGTTTATTTATGGCTCCAACATTTAATTCCTATGATAATGGCTTCTTGGTCTGGATTTCTTCATAATCGCATGGAACAAGTTACAAATTAAAATTTCACAAATGGATTCAACTGGTTCGAAATCCAATGTAGGAATTTTTTTTATTTTTTTTATCTTTTAAATAGGTTTTAATTTTTCATTTCATCCAAAATTCTCTACAATGGTTCGCAAAACTCGACTATAAGATAAAGAATCTGTGCATAAAGCCTTAACAAAAGACAAAATAAATAAATAAAAATCAAAGAATTGAACCAAATCTTTGTGAACAAAATATATTTCAAAATGACAAAATGCGATAGGTGAGTTCCATAAACCTTCAAGAATTCCTAGAAACTTCAACAACAAATAGAACACTACTAAGATATCTTATCTAGGAGATCAATTGAGTCATTGACCAAACCACAATCCACTTGGTTGGACACGCAATACTCACTAGCTAGTTGTAATCGAAGTAGATCAAGAAAAGGGACGACGCCCATCAAAATCAAATAAAAGAAACACGTTGCATTTCCACCCAAAATTCCATGAGGATTCAACAAAAAGGTTCATTCTTGACTCAAACCTGTACCAAGATTGTTCACCTCAAACCAGAGACTTTTCTCTCTTCATTCTCTATATCAACGTCATAGTCAAGTTTGCATTATAAAAATTTGAAAATATATATGTTGGCTTTGAAGTAGAGTAGTTTCACGCACATCAGTTGCACTGGAGACCGACTTTGATGCCCTGGAGTGTGCGAGCGATGAGGGAATTTACAGTGTCAATTGATTCTGTCGTGAGCTTGGCAGCAGGCGAGCTATTCACCAATATCTGGAATCCTATAGTAAGTAACGAGCCACTATTGCCTTCATCACTGCCTCTATTGTAGTTGATATGCCCATCAGAAACAGGAGAACAATCAGGAAGAATTGCAAATCCCGATGGCAATAAAGCCACACAAGAAGGATCACCCCCGGACATTACCAAATTCATTGCTTCAGAGTTGACAGCCGCATGTACTACGAGTGATCCTGAAACATCCATGCACGTCTCTTGCAAGATAAGCATGCTGATCTGATTAGCACTGGCAGCAGCCTGAAAGTCGAAGTACATAATGAAAACTCATAACCAGAAAATTGTAATTTGGAATCGAAATTGTTTTAGTAAAATGTGAGGGAAATTTGCAGCTGAGGTGAGGTCCTCTGCTAAATATAGCACTTGGGGTTCTCATTCAATTTTTTGAGTTGTTCCAAATTTAGGCACATAGTTCCACAGATGGAAATATCAGCTGCAAATTTCCCTAAAATGCATGACCCACTCACACTATTTCGAAGAACAGAGATGCTATTGACAAGGTCTTGGCTCTTGGGAATGTGCAGCATCTGTTGCACGCAACCATCTTGAGATAAGACATCCCAATGACCTCTTGTTTGTTCATTCCGCAAGAAGTCAAATAAATAGTGACAAGATATTGGCAACCACACAGTTGTCACGGCACTCAACACAGTACCCAAAGGCTCCCCCGGGTTACCAATGCTCTCCCGCATCATCAACTTGGTATTGTCAGCATTTCCAGATTGAACTAATTCCCACTTGTGCACCGTTGCACAAACACTGTTGCAAAAGCTGCGAGTCATCCGTTGTGCTAGCTGTCCTATACTCCTCCTGGCGGCTGGATTGGTTACTGGTGTATACAAAATATGCATCAGTATCCAGATGGTTTTTTTCTTCATATCAAACCACCAAAAAGGGCAGATTTCATTGATGTGAAAAAACATAAATAAACTCAGAAGGGTGAAGTACAGCTGAACCTCTAGAATATGAAAAAAACGAAGTAAAACTATACCATTGACAAGGAGATATAGAACAATTAAAAGACCCTCGTGTGCCTGCTTTGTGCTTTGCATATCCAGTATTATGGTTGTGGAAGTAGAAAAAAACAATTTAAATAGAACACCTGCATGATCTCCACTGTGGATTGTAGAGGATGTGATTGCAGCCAAGTAATTGCATTGTCTTTGTAGACTGGCGACCCACTTTTGTGCACCAAAGCCCAATCCAGAATTCAATAATGGTTGATATAATTGATGGACGACATTGGCATCATATTCTGTGTGCTCAACCCAGGTAACCTGAAACTCAATTTTGAAGTTACCAACCTTTCTTTACCAAAAAAAAGAAAATAAAAGGAGAGCTATCATGAGAATTAAAACAGTAAAAACAGAGATGCATCAAGCCCGTTAGAAGCAATGATAAGGTATTCCAAATTGTTCTGAAGTTAAAATATATCCACAAATTTCCAGCTGATTTCCAAAATTGCTCTGGAATTGCACAAGCATGTTACGACAACTATTGAATTGATTTTCATACTTGCATGCAAATTGCACAAGTAATGCACAACTGCAATAAGGTTGTTGACAATAAGGTCCATAATAATCACAGCAGCAGACCCACAGGATCACCACTCCTTCTTTCTCTATTTCCATAAATGGGGAGCTGAATGGCTTCTTCAAAGTAGCCAAAGGGCTTCGGCAGGCCGCTGCTTCAGATTGTCCAGCTACTTGTCGCATACAATTCATAAACTATGTGCATTTTCAAAGCAATACTTATTGCATGTTTGGCTAATCCCAAGAAATTTACTTATAAGTTTTAAAACACAAAATTCTTTTTCTTAGACAAATAAGTTACTTTCAAGTAGCTCTCACCACTCTGTCAAATAAGTAATTTTTTACTTTTAAAGAAAAATGTAAAATATCAACATGTGTTTAACTTTTAAGCTTACTCAAACATGCTTCTAGTAGATAGCTGTTGCACACACACATGCGCGCGCGCATGCACACAAACAGAGAGAGAGAGAGAGAGAGAGAGAGAGAGA